CTGCTGAACTAACAGAAAATGGTACCGCAGGTGGCTGTAAAACTGGTGCCAGATAGTAAAACTTTCATGGATCTCCTCATGGAAAAAGATGAAAACTGTGACACCCTCAAGGAGAAAATGCAGATCTTGGTTTCTTTGCTTGTGCCTTTTCTTGAGGATGTTCATAGTATTTTTGTAAGCTTGATTTCATGTTTCCTAACATAACATAAATCCGTCATGCTCATTCAATTTTCTGTCATCTTACCTTGTGAATATTTATTTTGCAGAAAGTGTATAACTTGGACAGGATTAAGTCAACCTGAAGATAGAAGAACTAATGTACAGCTATATGTAGTGTATATTTTGGGTTCATCCCTACTGTTTTCATGTAAATGGCTTGTATAGTAAAATTTGCATCAACACAACTCTGTAGTCTTTAGTTACAAGTTTGCTTTCGGCTGGTCAATATAGATTTTATACAACAAATTTGTATAACTTGAATTCAAGTTCTATTTTCTCTACATGTAGGATCTAATTTAGAGCTACGTTGCATCCAAAACGTGCAAAGTTTATTAAAGTTGAATATGACAAATGTCAAAGTTTAATTTATACACAAGAAGGGATGAATTATGTTACTTTTAGAAGTATTTTTCAAATCAAAGGTGGAAACCGCATTGAGATAAAGTTGGCTTTCAGTTTCACCCTCAGGCCTATTATTTGTTGCACTAAAAATTTACCTAATTTTGGAGGATGAAGATATTATGGATCAAACTCAACCGTGAGATCAAAAAGACTTAGCTATTTCATTAATGATTTATAGTCTCAATTTAAGGAGAAATCCGCTAGCTGATGGTCAGAGTTGAGTAATGTCTATGAGTCACATATATGATTTGCTGTTATTGAGCACAACTATTTATTTTTAAAAGGGGTAATAATGTCTACGCCCTCACAAATTTTTTCAAAGGTATAATGATAGCTCAACATAAGATTTAACTTATTGTTAACGAAAGTCTTGTGATTGCAAATACGTCACTTTCTTTTTACCTTTCCCAAGATTCATTGCTTCCACAAACAGGATATTGTTATTTTATTTTGAAGAAATGCCAACCTTGAAGACACTGTTAAACGTTCCTCCAATTTAAGTGGTCCGCATGGCCAGATTTTTTATTTTTCACAATGATTTCAAGATTGAATAATCATACCTTCATTGCGTCAAGATCCTAAAATAACCAATTCCTGGCTCTGTCCTCAAACAAAATTGCATGGTAGAAGCGTGGATTTTACCTTACATGACATGTACAGTATCCTGAAAGTTACATCATCGAATGATTGATTTTCAAATAAAACTCATTTGCTTTAATTATAGTGGTCAGCATATAGTATTCTAGACTTCCTTTTCGTTTATATGTCCTAATAATCATGTTCCTCTAAATGGAATATAATACTTTCAATGTGGTAAAGGAATCCAATGGACCAGTTCAAATATAGATCAAGTCCATCCCCACAGTGAGTTTTTGATGTCTCGTGAATTAGGAGGATCTTGAAGTGCAATCAGTGCTGCAACTAAGCCAGCATTGCTCGCTATGTTTGGCTCAGTAAACTTTTGGTTGGTCCTCTGATCCATGAACTTATCATTAGTGTCTGGCCCTCCCACCATGGCCCCCAAAAGAACCTGTGGATTTGGATCTTTAGAGTTTAGCCATTTCTTACCATCTTCACAATTGGAGTATTGCTTATTCCAAGGGATTGATGCACTTCTGTGATGAACCTGAACAGGAAACTTGTCACCATAGCCCACTAAATAGCTCATTTTCATAGGGTTTTGCCCTAAGATGTAGTTAACCTGAGGAGCACATAACAGAAGGAAGCATAATAATTAGACCTTTTCCAATTTATAGGCATCAATGCAAATAGTCAAAAGACCAGGAATTTGCCTGAGAAGTAGAAAAATCACGAAGCATTTCAACCGAGAATTCATCAGTCTTGCAACTTGCACCAGACATTTTGAGATGATCAAGGTAATCACTGTACAATTTACTGAGAAAAGATGCTGTAGCAGCATACTGGAGTAATGGCTCGTTATCTTGTTTCAGGATAATCAATCCACCTATCGTTATGTTTAACATGAATCATATACATAGATAACGAACACAAGTAAATAGTTGCAAACAAGCCAAATGGTATGTTACAATTGATCAGAGAATTAATTACCGGGTGTCCTGCTATAGTATTTATTGAATAAATAATAACACATGAGGATATCAGTAGAGTTAGATGAGAGTTTCAAAACATCCTCATGTGGGAAGCCAGGATCACGGAAGAATCGAATACCGGTAAGCAAAACCTACAAAGATCAGTTTGAAAAGAAAATTATGTTTAAGATTCCTTCTCAAGTTCTCCTGAAAATTCAGTTTATGTGTCTATTGAAGTTACCTCGACAGCATTGAGCTTGTTATTCCAAGAAACAATACCTTTGTCAGCACTTGATTCATCCCTCTTGGCTGATGAAAAAATTGCGGTTGCATTTGCAAGGTAATCAGTGTTTTCAGTAGCAAGAAATAACCATGTTGCTCCCCAAGCCAACTCATCTTTGTAGCTAGTTGAGTTATAAAGCATTCTTGATTGTTTCCCACAGGCATCAACCATGGTGTAGGTCCCTTGTTTTGTAGATTTTTCATTTGTGATTGCCTCATAGAGACTTTCTGCTGATTGGACAAGTCTCCTCGAGTAATCTTTGTCTTCTTTGAATACCATCGATGCTGCAGATAATGCTGCCACAATTTCACCAGCTAAATCTGAAGCAGAGCCATCACAAATTGAAACTGGTCTCTCATATTTCATATCTTCAGGTCGTTGCCAGCAACTCACATCATTAGGTTCATTGTTAATACTAATGGTACTTCCAACCTAATGAAATTGAATAAAGCAAAAATAGAATAATTTTTATTTATAACTATTAGTATGTAATAAAGAAAAGGAATATGGAACCAAAATGGGAATGAATCCTCTCATGTCATATTGGAAATACCAGCAACACTTTCTAACACACCTTTTTAAATACACTTTCTCCTATCAGTCAAAATTTATTGGAAATCACAAAATGTGTTTATAGAATTCCTCTTTTTAACATTATGGACAAGGACGGAGCCAAGGGGGGACCTACGGGTGCCACGGCCCCCCCAACAATTTTAATTTTTTTTTATATACATATATATTACTATATGGCACCCCCTATTTTTAATATAAACTCATATGTATAATTAAATGAATAACCCAAATTTATTTTTTTATTCAACTTTTGGACTTCTGGTACGGCCTGCTATGTGGTATCACTTTGGAATTTTTTTTTTTTTAAAAAAATGTAGCGCCTCATTTGATCATTCCAATTCTCGGCCCCCCAGTATTGAAATCCTGGCTCCGTCCCTGGATATGGATAAATTCAAAGTGTGCATCTCTCTAATGATGGTCACAAAATATGAACATGACATGTCATATTATCATATAAATGAGAAGAGATCCATTGCCTACAAAAAAGAAAAATTAACTTGCCTGGGAATACAATGCAAGGTTTGCTCCAGCTTCTGAATTTGGGGGAATGAACACCTTGAGCAGGTAGTCACTACCCCATCTAATTATGTCCCTAACATGATCAAGTTCACCAATATCAGCATATTTACTTTGATATTCCACAACAGTCCAACTCAACAAGGTCATAGTATAGGCTGTGGTGAAGGTAAACTTAATGTTATTTCCAGAATCATAAAATCCACCGGTAAGATTAGCCTTAGCAGAATTCCCATCCTGTAATCCTGAGTCTCCTCGAAATTTCACTGGACTGTTCCTTGGATAGTGCCCAGCTGAAAAAAAAACAAAATTCATTGTTGAACTACACCAAGAAAGAAAAGAAAATATGTAACATCACAAAGAGAAGTAGTACATTTTTGAGCATCATAAAATGTTAGAGCCTGGTTTATTGCCAATTTGAGATTGATTGAAGACCCTTGATGCTTGTGCTTCTGAGGTAAAAAGTGCACCAGCAAAACAGTTGCTAAGATGGCAAAGATTATTGTTACAAGAACAATAATAAAACAATGAAAGTGCTTCCTGTTAGTGATGACAAGATTGTAGTCAACAGATTTTGGATATTGGGAAGGGATAGATTCATAGGCAGTGGAAGAGTTAGGCGTGAATTTAAAGTCAAGGGCTATGGAGTTCCAGCGGCTAGCTGAAGGAAGAATGCGGCCTGCCTCTGAAACTGTGTGTGCATATCTCACAGGGTCTCTCTCTGACTCAAAAACAGATGACACTGTTGGTGCCATGGTTAATGAATTGGAACGTGTTGAGGTAGAAAATGAAATGAACAAAATAAACAACAATGCACTGTCAGTCTGTCACAGAACTAAGAAATTGGCTTCTAGGTTCTATCCAAATTAGCCAGTTTTGCCTACAAGGCTGAGAAATTTCAACCAATAATATGCACGTACAGCTAGTTGGAAACTAGGCTGAGAAATTTAGAGAATAAGATTTTATTTGTTGGTATATGGTTACGAATAATACTGTCTGCAAAATTCATACAATCACATTAATTATACCATTGCTTTAACCTGAGTTTAGTTCCCGCCCCACCAAATAAAAGGGTTCAAATTGTCTGTAGAAAGTTAGAAAATAATTTCTGCATAATGTTGTCCGCAATCATAAATGTTTATGGTGTGTGTGATAGTATATATCTTGCTCTTTAATAAAGAAACGTGTGGATTTTAAAGTGTCATTTTTTTTAAGGTTAACGTTGGTTATTCTGATGAAATGTATACATTTTTTTTACTGACTCGTTAATTACTGTTGTAATTAAGAGATTTTGTAAGAAAGGAAAAAAACTATATCCTCCAAGAGTTGATGCTTTTTATAGTAGGCCTTTTTGGTTCCCGTAAACCAAAGTACTAAACTATGTTATTAGCTTAGCACACTACAGATTATTTGATAAAACAGTTATTTTAGTAAGAAAATTTCATGCTATTCATTATGTGTGGGTTTTGGTAACCGTAACATATTGGATTTGAATTGGGTTGATATTCCAAAGCATGGCCGCGTGGGTTTGTCTTTTCTGTGCCGTCCAAATTATACCATTATGTGGAATCAATGGAAGGGTGTTCGGCAAGGGTGATTTTTTTAAATTTCTTTTGAATTTAAGGTTGCAGTTTTTATTTTTATTTTATGTTTGGTATAAAATTCAAAGAAAAATATTCTCAGAAAACATTCACTCACTATAATATTTTTAACCCATATTTCTCACAAAATTATTCCCAATGAAAACCATAATAACCTTATCAACTCAATATAAATATATATACATAACGTCTTGAAACATTTAATTATTAAATTTTAAAAAATAAGATACTAATAAATATTCTTAATACTGTATTAGAATTTTAAAATAAAAATCATTTTATAATTTTTTTTAAAATTGAATAACAACTTAAAGGTAATCAAAGTGTTCACTTAATTTATATATTTACGTCAATTTTGTTTTATAAAAATGAAGTATTAAATCATTTTGGATTAATATAAAATTTTGTATATATGGTTTAAGAGTAAAGAAATTTCAATCTAACGGTTGGATTTATAAAATTCACACGTAATATAAAGTTATTGAGCAGTGTAATATTTAGTAAAAGTTAGACCGATGTTATTATAACCATCTTATATATATATATATATATATATATATATATATATATATATATATATATAAGTGATTCACTCACTTAAAAAATATATATATATACACATTACTTCAAAAATAAATTTACTTACACATATTTCACTTAATAATGTATGTTCTACATTAAATTTCAATCATCTAACCATTGATTTAGAAGTTCTTAATGCATAGATTAAGTCTGTAAATTTTAAAAAAAAAATTAAAAATTATTTGATACTCTGTTTTATTAATTCAAATTGACGGATGATTATAAAAACATTCTATACATTGATTTGAATTAATAGAATAAAACTTCAAATAGTTATGTCAGTTTGAATTAATGAAACAGAATATCAAATAATTTTCAATTTTTTTAAAATTTGCATATTTGATTTATGCAATAAAAACTATTAATTCAACAATTGAATCATTGAAATTTGATATAGAACATAAGTTATTAAGTGTAGTAAGTGTAGGTATACTTACTCATTGATTAAGTGAATCTCTCCTTATATATATATATATATACACACACACTTACACACACACACACAATAATCTAGTAATAAAGTATGAAATGAAATCTTAGTTGTCAATCAAGTAACCCTACTAAAATCCAAATAAACTAGGGTAGCCCAAAAGATTAACTTCGTCGTCACCTGCATGGCCTTATAAAACATCTCATGTAACTTATCCTTGCTTTTCTCTTATATCAAGTATGATCATCGTAGTCCAAGAACATGAAAAGCATTCAAAAATAAACTAGTATTCAAAATAATCAATAATAGTCGGTATAAGAGTAGTAACCCCTACTATATTATCAACAAAATCAACTCAACTAACTCAACACATTTCAATATTATTCCACTTGAACAACATAACCAATACAACTAATAAATCACTATAAATATTAGGCTAAAAACCTATTTTGGTCCCTTATAATATTTTTTTTGTTTCAATTTAGTCTCACTTTTATTTATGGTCTCAATTTGGTCCCTAATAAATTAATTGGTTACAATGTCGGACTTCTGTCCAAATTATTTAGACGGAGTTAACTGTTGGCCACATGGATGCTACGTGGATGCCACGTGGAAGCTACGTAGATATCACGTGGAAGTTACGTAGATGCCACGTGGATGTCAAATTTTTGTCATGCATCTAGAACCAGAATGACCCGTTCTGAAACCGAAATGACTCGTTCTGGTTTCAGAATGCCACACATACAGTTGATGATTATATCCAGAAATTTTAGATCGTGAGGACAATATTTATTCATATATTTGTAATATTAAAAATTTTATATATAATTTTTAAAAGTATAAATATATATAATAGTTATTTTTTTACATTTATATCTACAATTATGATTAAGGATGAAAATAAACTAGGTCAGATTATGTTATATTATAATTTAACAGATTTAAACATAATTTTGGTTAAAAATACATGTTATAAATATTATATATTTATCTGTCATAGACATTTTTTAAAATGTTTGGTTACATAACAATCTTAAAAACATACTTAATAATAATTTAACAATAATAAAAACATATAAATAAATATGTTAAATCTTATAAAAATTAAGTTTAATTTATTTATCATATAAAGGTATTTTTAATATGTAATATAAATTTTTACAATTTTAAATTTTTTTATCAACATAAATAATAAATAGAAAGTACAAAAGTTTGACAAATATAAGATAAATGAATAACTCTTCGAAATTTATATTTTATACATACGATAATTTAAATATATATATATATATATTAGAATATAATTTTTATTTTTTAAAATATATTATTTTTTAGATAAAAAAAATTGTGTATGTGTAAATGGTTTGCTTTCGATTTTTCAACCACACTGGTGCATTATGTTGGTTGGCGTTCTAGAACAACCCATTCTGAATCCAGAACGGCCCGTTTTGGTCTCAGAACGGCCCATTCTACTGCACGCGTTGGTGTTAAATATTATATCTGGAACGGGTCGTTCTAGATACAAAATTTACACATCATGAGTGCGACCGGAACGGGCCGTTCCTGTTTCAGAACGGACCATTCTGGTTCCAGATGTATGACAAAATTTGACATCCATGTGGCATTTATGTAGTTTCCACGTGGCCAACAGTTAACTCCGTCTAAATAATTTGGACGGAAGTCTGACATTGCAACTAATTAATTTATTAAGGACCAAATTGAGACCAAAAATAAAAATAAGACTAAATTAAAACAATTAATTATTATAAGGGACCAAAATAAGTTTTTAGCCTAAATATTAATACATCATAAGCACAACAAGGCTGATTCGCGGGGAGGTTTGGACGAATTTGGGCACAAAAAACCCAAACCGCAATAAATTGCAAGCCGCTAGAATCAAACACATATTCGCCCAAGTAAAACTTTGGTTTATTTGAGTTTAGATTGGGTAGTTGGTTGTTACAAGTGGGTTGAATTGGTTATGAACTTGATGAGACACGTTCATATTTTTCTCCTGGCCAAATCAATTTATTTTAGTACATAAAACACTGAAATATAAGATGTACTTACACGAACTAGGTCGTCTTCCTAACTCGGATAAGCGCCGTCTTCTCGGCCTCTAGTGTCGAAAGGTCTACTCTCTGGGCAGCAATCTCCTGCTCTTTGCTACCAATAATAACCTCGTCACGGAGACGCTCCTCAGTTACTGACACCAGTTCCCTCCTCAAAAAAGCGACCTTGTCTTCCAAAGAGCGAACCTGGTCCCGAGAAGACATCACCTCGCCTCGGGACGAGGTAACAAGCCCCTGCAGCTCACCTACTCGGGAGGCATAGTTCTCGTTGGAGCGCAGGGTGATCTCCAACGACTTTTGGACCCTGGCGAGGTCCCCCCTCGCCGCCTGGAGCTCGACTCCTTGCATCTTTGCCTCGCCAAGGGCTGCAGTCAGAACCCTGTTCTCCTCCCTCAGGACTCTATTTTCATCCTTTAGAGGTTGAACCAAGCCCTTCAGCTTCGCCATGTCCTCCTGCTGTCTCGACCACTTGTGTTTCCAGTAATCCACAATGGTCGTACCTCTCTGCAGGAAGATTTGGGAGGCATCAAAACTACTCATTGGCCCGGCCGACTCGATCATCGCTTGATCAGCCGTGCTCAGCGACCCCTTTGGGAAAAACTTCTCCGGAGTCACCGCGGCGCTCCATAGAGAGTCGATCTCCTCCAACGCACTCAAATGCTCTAATCGCATCGGCACGCCCTCTTGCGCATAGCAGTACGCAAGATACGTTCGCTTCGGCTTTGGCACTGGAGCATGTGTAGGGATTCCTGAACTCGACCCCTCCCTACGGACCTCGACGGAAGTAGACGTGGGTACCCCCTGCTCGACCACGGAAGGAGTTCCTTCCGGCGCCCCTGAGCTCGGAGGATCCGAAACCCCAGCGATGTTCCCCACCTGCAAAAAATAAGCAATACTCTTCTAAGACAAAAAGTAAACAGAGGGGTAAGACGTCAATGCCATAGAAGGACCAACCGCTTACCTCGCCATCCGGGGTAGCAGGTACAACAGCCTGGATCACCTCCTCGGCAACTGGGGTAGCCCGCCCGGCAGCAAGGACCACTTCCTCGGCAGCATCCCCTGCCTATGGAAAATAACCCCAAGTCAAAACGTAGAAAAATAGCAACAAAGATAAAAGACAGAGGCAAGACTAAGAAAGGAAAGGTACTCACCACGGCGGCCTGGACAACTCGCTCAGCAGCTTGGTCCACCGCGCCGACTTTAGCGGCCTCGAGGGCAACCTCC